TGATGACGGTATTGAGGACGTTATTGGCTCTGAAGTTATAGAAGATATGCTCATCGATCCAGCCGAACTTCAGCGTGGGGAGGACGAAGAACACTCGCATCTAGTGCCTTGTACAGTGCCAGAGACGTCGGAGGCACGTGCGCAGTACATCTTAACCCTACTTCAGCTGGTCAAGCCGGGAAAGGATCGCGATCTTGCCGTGCAATGCGTACAAGAGCTTGTGAAAATGGGGGTGAGTCGATCACCGGCATGCCCGGCAGGCCGGCAGGGTCGGCAGATTTGTTAATAACGCCTTCATTCTGCAGTGGAACCCACGAGACGCGTCGACAGATGAATAGATAGAGGCATCATGTGGGGATCAGTATATTGCGCCGGACGCTATCTCATGGGACGCCGATAGCCCCTTGCTACGCGATGACGACGCGCTGCCTGTACGCATGTGGTTAGGATCACGTCCTTACGATCATTCCGGATTTTTGGGGTGGAGCCAGGGCTGGAAATACCTACTCGGCATGCTCATGTTCTTGGTCAGTGAGACGTCACGCACAGTAAGATCGAATCTAAATATGCAAAGTCCTCTGAGCCATATGAATCTACAGATTAATGTCCATGAGCTGAAAGAGAGCCGGCAGTGGGCTGTCATCATGGATGCCATTCCAGACGATTCCGGCACCTGGGACACGGTCTCGGGTCGGCAGGCACTTTCCGACGACTTTGAACGCTTTTATGAGGCTGTGCGCGTCCTCAACACACGAACACGCTGGCCTGGTACCCCTCCGTCCTGCCGTTATCACTTTGCCACAAGCCGGTGCGGATATATAACTCGCATTTTCTCAGTGGAAGGGGTAGCGGATTTGGCGCATCTCATTACCTTGATGGTGCGTGATCCGTTCTGGCATCCGGCACGTCCGGCAGCTGACAGGGCCGGCAGCTGGCACCAATTGATGAGGACGCTCCTCTCGGTGCTGCCCGCACATGGGATAGCTGGGAGTGGAGTCGATGCGGACTTCCTAGTGGCATGCATAAGGGCACCGACCAAGCCTCTATGCAGGATTTGAAGGACTCCTGGACGTCAGACGCTGTGTTTTTCACCTCCCCTGGCCAACTGAAAGACAGAGAAGAGGGCCTGCTGATCCTTCTGCGGTGGGCTCTGGCATACTCGGACTTCGCTCATATGTGTTCGCTTCCAGTCGACCAGCAGCTGCGAGTCATGCAGACTTCGACCTTCGACA